GAGTTCCCAAGACTGAAATCAGAATTGTTGTGTTTTTTTCTGAGCTGAGTGTATGCATAAAAAGGATTTATGTGTTACTCCACTAGCAGGATCAAATAAATTAGTTTCTGCAGAAAACGACAGCTGCACATTCACATGCTACACACAGTCACACGCACACGCTGATTTTATCAGTCTGTAATAATCTGAGTTTTGTGAAATATGTTTTAAATAACCAGAGAAGTCAGAGTTTACATGAATAGACTGTCTAAGGAGAAACTGATATGTCCTATCCATTTTTAGCAACTCTCTGCGAATGGTTTAAATGAAGCATTTTTAATGAAGCCAATTCGTGATAAAAGCAGATATTATAATTAGCCATGGAATAAAGAGGGAAAAAAAAAAAAAAGAGAAAAACTAGTTTTTATTTTTCCATTTTTGTAACTCTAAAATAAGGAAAAAAAAAAAAAAGAGAAAAAAGAATTTTTATTTTCCCATTTTTGTAACTCTAAAATAGAAGGGCATCCAAAGACCATAAATGTGGTTAATTCAAAAGAAGCATATGCATAAAGGTGGCAGGAATGGTAATCTCTAATTGATTGTGCAATTTGAGGCCAAAAATTTTGGGAGATTAGAAAGTTATTTATATGGATTTAAGAATTATTAAAGCTAGGATAGTTAATGCTAAACAAAAGGAAAAAATATCCCATATTAAGTCTGATTATTTCAACCAATCTCCACCTGATAGAAAAGTGGATGGGACTGAAAGGAGGCTGCAAATTACCCAGCAGCTTGTTCCAAAAGGTGTTTTTCATCTTTGCCACGACCAGGAATAAGATTTTTGATTAAACAGGTAAAAACTGTTGCCTCCTCTGTTCCTTCCATCACACACTCACAAAACACATCCAGAAGTAGGAGCTAAATAAAGCAAAGCCCTTCCATAACCTGTGTTCTGTATATTTGGTGTATAGCAACTTGTACTTATAATGGAAGACTTGGGTGGGGTTTTTTTGTTTGATTTTACCTTATGGTGCTATTCTAAAAATATTTGCCAGAGCAGTGTACTAGATAATAGACTGATGTGATTTGAGGTAAGAATGTTGTAGTTCAATTTTTAGTGTTACCTTGGAAAGCCATAACTAGAGGCAAGAGTTTGTCTACATGGAATTTCCAAAGCCTGGAGCCTTTTGCAAACTGCAGCTCAGAAGCCAAAAAGTAACATACTCCTCCAGATACACTCATCTTGTTAAAGAAAATAGTTGTAACAATTATGTGCAATCTTTTCACTTCTATTTTCTATCTACTATTTATTTACTTAAGCACTGTTCAACATTTCACTTTTTCTAATGGAGCAGAACTTCTAAAAGAAAAAATATGTTTAGCCAAGCAGTTTTGTTTAGTTTCTTTTTTTTTTTTCCCTGTGCCTTTTTCTAAATAAATAACTCTCCACAGTTTTCATTGGCACAATATGACCAAATGTATTTTAGTTCCTTTAACAATACAAAGCAGTTATAGAAGTTCTGGAGTTTCTAGTTTAAAAAAAAAAATTCTATACAAAGGCTTTACTTTAAAATATTGAAACAGAATGAAACAGATTCCAGTATGGTCAATTGAAAAATTAGTTTGTGAACTCCTACTGCAATGGTGAGGTGACCCATAAAATAAATGGTTCTGGAATTTTGCTCATACAAAAGAAACTATATACTTTTAAATAAATAAAAGCTACTATATACATTATACTGTACAATTAAATGAGAGATGACATGATATGGAATAAATTTAGGCCTGCCTTTTCATCAGCAAGGCTCATATCTTGACTTTATTACAATTCTGAATAAACCCCTCTGCTTTAGATTATTTTTTTTTATTCTAGTGGCAGCCACATGAGCGCACCACCATATTCCTGTATTTTTTTAAAATAACATTGGAACTGTCATCAAAGTAGAGCACGGAGATTGCATTCAGTTTTGTTGGTGCACAGCATGGCTTTGGTACATGATCAGGGAACATCAAGTGAACCTGAAAGACAGATAAATACATAGCTCATATATCAAACAGAGAGGTACAAGGACAGCGTCAGAGCAAAACATGTCTTTGCAATTCAGAGAGGGCTGTGGGCACAGATTTTCCTTGGTTTGCAACTTTAAAGCACAGCTTACCTCCAGAACATTGCTCTGGTTTCAATGGCACAGGCAGAGTTTTACCACAAAAGCAGATGGAGAGAGAAAGGAGGAGGAGAGGCCGAGACGACAGTTGGTTTTTTGTTGGTTTCTGTTGGTTTTCAGATGAAATTTAGGAAAGAACTGGAGTTAAGTGTCTGCTCAAGAAAACCTTTAAATGTATTGCTTGTACCACCTTCGCTGAGGACAGTGCTTAACATGAAACAAAGGCTCAAGCCCCAGGTATCACCAGGACCACCTCATGTAGGATGGTTGGACTCAATGGTCTTAGAGGTCTCCTCCAACCTTGGTGATTCTATATGCTAAAATGCTTTCTGTGTTGGGGTCTAAGTATGGAGGAAAACCTGTTGCAGGCAGCAAAGGCTGTGCAGCCAAAGGCTCATACTGAAACTCTTTTCAGCCTATGAAATGGTAAGATGTGGGGTCTCAGAGAGTATGACTGCATTTTAAGGTCTCATTTAGGCATCAGTGGATCCAATGCTACTTCCACTGAAGTCAGAATCAATTCATAAGCTGGGTGCCAGCTGGCCAGAATGTCTGGGGAAAGGGCTGAGGCAGAGAGGTCTTTATGCTCACTAGGCTGAAATATATCAATGAAAGGTTAAAGAGAAGGAAAAGAGTTTTGAACAGCATCCCAGAAGGAACAAGATCTACTGGAAATATCTGAAAATGGGGGAAATACAAGTTCTTTGTACTTGAAAGAAGGTTGGATGTAATATTCTACACATGCTGAAGACTTGGAAACTGGGGAGGCCAGAGAAGAGGGAGTTGTAATAGAGAGGGCAAGAGATTATTAAGGCATGGATGAAGACTTCAGCAGTAATAGGTTTCATTTGTATGTTAAGTCTTTGTAAATCTGTTAGAGCCATCTGTCTTGCAGTGATATAAGCCCAGAGCCTTTGCCAGACAACAGAGAACAGTCTATCAGGAAAAGATTTTTACATAACTGTTACCATGAGGTCTTTTTGAAATGAGCAATAATAAATCCTGAAGTAGCAGTTTAGTAACGGTTTCGACACACATTTAAAAACAGTTGAACAAATGAATAGCAAAGCACTGGAGAAAAGAATTCTAGGCAGATGTTTGCCCCATCATAAACCATGGTCCCACCAGCCCCTGCCACTCCAGCTGGAAGCTCAGTGGCCCCACTATCTCACCATGAGAGCAATGTTCAAGAGTAAACCCCAAATTCAGAGATAGACAAACTGCTGATCTACTGCCTTGCACGACCAGGAAGTCAATGCTACTCCTGTGCCTGTTCTGAGGGTGATTGGAAGCATGAGAGGAGAAGAAATCTTAAAGATTTCATTAAATGCAGACTGTCTTGTAGCTATATGCATCTGTATCATCTGTTTGCCTAAATTCAGGCATAGAAAAGGAAGAGAGAGAGAGGTACTGGCCCAGCATTTGTCCTATTCTTGTTACAAAAGAAAATAAAATAGAGTCAGTCAAGTTTGGAGGGGTACCAAGGAACAATCACTTCCCAACCCAAAGAGTGGGCTTTTTCAGAATGGTGTAATCAGTATGACCAGGAGATGACTACATTTGGATTAGGGTGGGGCGTATGAATAATTGTTTCCCAAGCCATCCCCATGTGCACACCTTGTGTAAATCTGAATTTTGGATAATTTAAACCAGAAAGCATTCAACTACTGTTATCTCATCGAATTTATGTGCAGCTAAAATTTAATTAGCCTCATGATCTTTTGGCTGAACAACTGAATGCATGTACAGTACATGTGGAGGGAGACACACAACTCCAAAAAGGCCATAAAAAGGGGAAAAAATTTAAGCATGCAGTTTAAAAAATAGGACAAACTACACACATTTCTTAACAATGGGAAATTAACCATTTTTGGACAAGAAAGGCACACAAGACAAAGTAGCACCATTGGGGCCAATTCTTGTTTAACGGTCCATAAGTGCAGGAGGGAACTCTAACCTGGGAATCTCACTGATATTGGCAACTTTTCTGGACAATGTTTGCATAATGCTAAACTCTTGCTTTGCTGACCTATTTCTTTTCAGCTCAGGACTGCAGATATGCTGTTCTTTGTTGTCTCCTAAGCACATTGCTGTATTTCTTGCCAACTGGCATTTTCTGTTCCCTTTCACCTGAACTCCTTAACACACTTCTATTTATTTCCAGCCTCTGACATTTTCACTTCTTTTTGTAAATCTTGCTGACTCGAGTTCTGGTATAGAGGAATAATATTGCATTGGTGGCTGGGCTTGGAGAAGGTAAATGAAAAGTTGAATGGAAAGGAAAAGGTCTCAGTACATGCTGAGTTTTTAAAATTGTCCCTCTCATGTAGAAATACATGGCAATTTCCACAAGCAGAATTTGTTTTCCATCATAAAGAATTCAAACTTCATTTTTTATTTGTTTGCTTGTTTGCTTCTGGGGTTTTTTGGGGTTCCACAAGCAGAATTTGTTTTCCATCAGAAAGAAATCAAACTTAATTTTTTATTTGTTTGCTTGTTTGTTTCTGGGTTTTTTTGGGTTTTTTTTGGTGTGGGGTTTAATTTTGAGGGGGGATGTTGGGAGTGCTGTCCCAGGAGGGGACATTTCTGAGGGGGGAAAGGTTTTTCAGGACCAGATATTTTATGTGAAAATCAAAGAAAAAGACTACCATCCATGCACAGACTTATCAGCATAGTCTGATGGTCAGGAGACTTTCAGTTTAAATCAGAGAGAGCCTTAACTGTAATTAGAGAAACATGGTTTTGAGTACCTTGACCTTTCCAGAAATTAATTAGGGATGGCAACCCTTTCCTGATCTGATTTCATACTCCTGCTCCCTCCTGGTGTATTATCTCTCATTGCTCTGCTTCTTAATCACTCTTCTTGTGCCAGTGCTATTCAGAGCCAGCTGTTTAGCTGGCACAGGTGAAAAATCAGTTTCTGAACAGACTGCCCAGACTTCAGTCTCACAGCATTACATTTAGGCATAGCCTAAAGTTTGTGATTTCTGTAGCTGAATTCTGCCAGGGTACAGGAGGCCTGGCCAGCTGCTTCAGCTAAGATCATCTTTTTGGCTGCTGCAGTTGAGGCACAGGACTAACATTAGAAGTAGCAGAGGCAGAAAGCTGGCTGTAAATCCCCTTTTACATGTACCAGGCAGAGCAACAGATCCAAACACACTTCTTTTTAAATTGCATTTGTAATCCAGGCATGACTGAACACAATTTCTTACATGCAAATGCATCTGTTTGCAAAGCTTCACATTAAATTGCAGTCTCTCTGCCAGCAGTTGACAAGAGAGGTCCACAGAGTGGCCAAGTGTCATCATTTCTGGAAGGTATAGCATGTAGATGTTAACATTGAGCTGAAAAACTCTTGGAAATCAGACTAGGGGGCCCCTTTGGTTTCTGTCTGCACAAATTCTCCAGTAATACAACACAGTCTTCTCATGTGTTATTGCATTTGAAACGGAGGAGAAACCCACCACATGGGCCACTCTGAGCAGATCATCCTCTCTCCAGCATAATCATCAAAGCATGTTTTTTAAATGAGTTATCTTTTACCAGAAATACCCTGATGCATTAGGAAGAGCATTGCCAGCAGGTCAGGGAGGTGATCCTGCCTCTCTGCTCAGCCCTGGGGAGGCACATCTGGAGTGTTGTGTCCAGTTCTGGATCCTCAGGACAGGAGGGACATGGAGCTCCTGGAGCAGGTCCAGGGGAGGGTGAGGAAGATGCTGAAGGGACTGGAGCACCTCAGGGATGAGGAAAGGCTGAGGGAGTTGGGGATGTTCATTATCAAGAAGAGACAACTGAGAAGGACCTCATTAATTGATTCAAGACCATGAACAGGAAGTGCTAAGAGGATGGATCAGTGGTGGAAACCAATCAAACAAGAGGTAACAGCAAAAACTGATGCCCAGGCAGTTCCACCTGAACAGGAGGAAGAACTTTCCTGTGCAGTCACTGAGCACTGAACAGATTGCCCAGAGAGGTTGTGGATTCTCCCTCTAAGGAGGTATTTGAGAACCATCTGGACAGAAATCTAAGCCATGTGCTCTGGGCTGGCCCTGCTGGAGTAGGGAGGTGGGACCAGATGGTCCATTGTGGTCCCTTCCAAACTAACTGGTTCTGTGATTCTGTGAATCAAAATTCAATAGTAGCAAATGGAAAGGAAGAGTCAGACCCTGTGCAAAGACACTAACAACTGCATAATAGGCAACTACAACATAGGCAGAGACATACCAGAGTCTGGACAATGGCATGGTTTGTTGCATTCATGTGGGCATTGAGGGGGAAAGAACACTCTCCATCACAGTAAAACGCAGCATAACCTTCCGGTGCAATAATCCAGTCCTAAAACAAGAACAAATAAATCCTCTCAATATTTGTTTTCCTCATTCAGAGAATTTATAACTATATCAAGCTAAGACTTGTCCAACGATGAAATGGACTTCAGAATGTGACATGTAAATTATTTTTGCTTTATTCATGCAAAACTGAGATCAAAATAAATTAAAAATCCATACTGAATACCAACTAATGAGGGTTTAAGGGGAATTTAAGATCAAAATATGTTTATGAGAAGACTTTTCCTCCCAGCCCAAAAATCTTGAGCACTTCTTGATGCACCAAAAGCAATTAAAATGCACCCTCTTCCTTCAGCATACTCAGTACCATTAACTGTATTACTGTGGGAGACTGAGGGTTGTTAGAAATTACCTGTTGGCATGTCAATGGATCATGCATTTTGAGTATTTCTAGCAACACAGCATGGGGAAAAGACCACAAGAGGGAAAATATTTCCAAATGTTAATGAAAGCTGTGTGTTCAGTTTGCTGAATTCCTCCTTTGCCAGGTAATGGAGGTGCTGTGGGAAGGGCAGAGAGGATCAAGTACCTACTTCTTGAGGTTTGTATCTTTTTTGTGTCTCATTTCACACTGAGTTTCACTGGTCAAATATTATACAGTATAGCTATAGTTTTCCAGCTGAAAACTTTTAACTCCTAAAGTATATTTTTGGTGATAAAAATAGATTTTCTTTTCTCTTTGGCCACCTGAATGACTGATCTGATAGTCTTGCACACCTTGGAGCAGATCAGAATTTACAGTTTGGAAAAAAAGTTGAAAACTGTTGATATCTGAAAAAAATCTGTGATCTACAGACAGACAATGGCTCATTTGTTCAGCAGCCTGAGTTCCACACCACAAGTCTGCTCTGTGGCCCTGGACAGGATGATTATGCTCTGCAGACTTGGGAAAACAGGCTGTGCCTACTTCTTCAGGCTGCTGTGAGGATAAATATACTACCCAATATCAGGCAGGATAATGAGGCCATATGAGAATCTGAGCTAGATGCATAAAGGATGAGCTGTCACTAAAGAGATTGCATATCTTTCCTCCTCATAGACTTGTTCTGTTCCTGGAGAGTTGCTTTAAAATCATTCAGAGAAATGTGACATGCACAGACAGCCATCTCTGAGTTCTTACCTACATGTGCAATATGTCTAGGTTATAGGTTGGTGATGGCCTTCTTGTTCTTTCTTTATAGAGAGTTCCTTGCTTTCTGGAAAAAAAACCTAAATTGATGTCTATTTTCTTTTCTCATGATGCCCTGATTTTATGACCTTACACCACAAGTCCATTCTTCTTTTGTTGCTATGTGGTAGGATGAATTTTCCCCAGAAATTATAGAAAATTAGCTCTGGTACTATAAAGACCACTGAGCAGTGATCCAAAACTAGTTCCCTGAGAACTCTACCCCAGTGAAATCTCTCTGAACTGCAGTAGACAGCACTGAACCAGGGAGAATTCAAGTGCAAATTTTTAAATTTCCATTGCTTGCTGTGCGGATTTTGGTTTCATTTACTGCAGATTCATTCGTATCTGGAGTAGCAGTTGAGATTTATCATTATGGGAATGAATCCAGATCATAAACCTATTAATGTATGCAACATCTTTGAGAGAACAACAGCTAAAAGATGTAAAGCAATAGTGAGAGCAATAGTGATAGGGATTCATTACAAAATGCTTTTAAATAATTTGTCTCTCCTCAGTGAAACACAAATTACCATAAAGTAAACAGAGTATAAATAATGGGGGACTGTAAAATAGATTGTCCCAATTTGAACTGATACAAAGCAGCATTTATAATCATACCTGCCATCCCAAGTCTCGGAAACTCACATAAAGTTCATGTTTCTTACACGCTTGTTTTTGCTCACTTGTGTTATAATCTGCAGGAAGAAAATAACAGTAATTAATTGTTTAGAAGCATTGCTAGAATCAACAAGATTTAGCTATTTTTGAGATCCAGACCAAACTGTACAAAGGAAAGGAAAAACATACTATCATTTATATTCCTAGGGTTGGTCGTAAAGGTGATGGAAATGCAGAATCAGCACAGTGAGGCTGATGCAGTTCGTGCAGAATAATGCATACAGCATCAGGGGAAACAGGTTTACAAGATGTCAGTTTGCTGGCTAGATAGGTAACACCTCTGTTAATATACATGCAGCTAATCAAAGAGGACAAGTGAAAGTTTGATCCAAGATATGGGTAAGTCATCTGTATGTTGGCATGGATTTATTTGCCAGGTAAAAAAAAGAAACCCAATTCAAAAGACAAGTTAACAATGATAAAAATTGCCCTGAAACAACAGCATTTCCAAAAGTCTCTTATTCAAACATTACTACATTTTATACACCTTCATTTTTCACCATCTTTTCTGGAAATATTCACCACTTGATGGTCATTAGTTGGTAATACTAATGCAAACAAGTAGGCTAAGAGATTTTTGAAAGCACTGAATGTTTCTGCACTGTCAGAGATCTGTCAGCACAGAAGGACACTCAGAACCTTCCATACATGCTTCTCCAGGGCAATCTTAATCCTGGAGGAATTCTGGGACTTGTTCCTTACTGCTGCTAAGTAGCAGAAAAGGAAGGGAACGGGGTCAGGTCTTTATCACATTAGCACCACAGAGTTGGTTTGCAGAGCTATTCAAGTGATGCCATAAGTGAGGCATGTGATAGAGCAGGGAGGACACGCTGTCTCCTCTGGTTCCAATTCAAGAATGCTTAAAGTGACTTTTTTTGGACCAAAATAACCATTCGGGGAGGAAAGAAAAAAAAAAGTTGGCTGCAATTCACAACAACAATAACAAGGAAAAGCAAACAAGCAAACAAACAAAATCCCACAAAACCCAAACAAACAAACAAGACATGGAAAAAGAAACAAAATCTTCAGTTTCAGGAAAAGAATTTTTTTAGGAACATATTTTTTAGCATTATGAGACTTGAGGCAAAATCTTCAGTTTCAGGAAAAGAATTTATTTTAGGAACAAATTTTTTTAGCATTATGAGACTTGAGGTTGGAATGGGAAGGCCTCTGAAAAAATTCTGGATCATTAGGAGCTGGGCCTTATTCACATAAACTAAAGGAAGGGAGTTCTACAGTTTGTGAGATAACCTGTGTAGTTCTTCACTATCCTTACAGAAAGCTCTGCCAAATATACAGCCTAAAGGAGCTTTTCTGCAAATTTACCAACTGCTTCTTGTTAACTGTCCTGATCTCTGCTATCACTGCTTCCCTGGATTCTCTTCAGCTTCTCTCTGTCTTTCCAAAGATGTGATGGCCACAACTGAACACAGTGCCAAATAAAATAATTACTACACATTCTTTCCAGATTATTTTCTAGTACGATAACCCAGAATAGGATTTTTGCAGCAAAACTACACTGCCAAATAATGAACTTCCTATCCTTTTAAATATACATTTTTGCCTAGTCACCTTAGGATTCTGTTGCAGTTATACAAATCACTGAATAAAGGACAGATTGGAGGTGAGGATGCTGATGACAGCTGCAGCATGATGGGGCTGCAGCAACGATGGTACAGTAGAGTTAAGGTTCAGAGGGATGACAAAGACCAACAACAACATTGCAACCCATTGAAGCCAAGCAAATATGGAACAAAGCCACAGTGGCTAGGTCAATAGGAAACTCTTGACTGAAGTGGAATTCAAATAGGAAGCAGAAGTAAAGTGGAATTGGGATGAACTACACAGAAATAGCATAAACAAATTGCCTGGGCATGCAGAGATGGATGTTAGGAAAGCTAAGCTTAGCTGGAGTTAAAACTCATGAGGGATGTGAAGGTCAGCAAGAAACACTTCTACAGGTACATTCAAAGGAAAAATAAAACCACAAGAAAAAGACAGATTTGTTGTTCAATAGGGCAAAGGAGCTATTGACAAGAACTCAGAACAGTCTAAGGTACTCAATGATTTCTTTGTCTTGTTTTTTACTGGCAAGATTTACTCTCAGGACTCCCAAGTCCCTGAGCCTAATGACTGAAGCTCTACCCACAGTAAAAGGAATAGAGTTAGGAATCAGTTAAACAGCTTGAAGATACACCAGTCCATGTGAGCAGACAGGATGAATTTCAGGGTGGGGAATGAGCTGACCAACATCTTTGTAAAGTCACTTCCTGCCATTTTTGAGTGTTCAGAGTAGCTGGAGGATATGTCTGATGATTCAAAATGGAAAATTTCACACATGTCTTCAAGAAGGCCAATCAGGTTAATCTAAGTTTCTGGGAAGTATGCAGAATAAATTCTCATGGAAACTGTGTCCAGATACATGAAGAACAAGAAGGTGTTTGGGAACAGTCTGCATGTATTTACTAGTTCAAGCTGTGCCTAACCAACGTGACTGTTTTCTGTGATGAGCTGACTAGCTTTATGGGCTTTTGAAGAGCACTGGGTGTTGTTCATTGTGCTTTCAGGAAGGCTTTTTATATAGTCTCCCAGTCTTAGAGACATATTGGTCAATCCAATCAATAACTTTGGATAGGTGAAGAAAATAATGGATAGAAACTTGGCTAGGCTGCTGGGCTCAAAGGGTTGGGATTAGTGGTAACCAAGTCCACCTGGCAGCTGGTTACTAGGGGTGGCCCTAAAGGCTCAATACTGGTGCCAATACTGATTCATGTCTTTGTTAGTAGCCTGGACAATAGAACAGTGTGTTCTCTGCAAGTTCAGAGAGGATACCAGATCTGAGAAGAGTGAACAATCATCCAAATTACCAACAGAATGTAAGACTGATCCAGATCCAGAAGAGACTCAGCAAGGTGTCATTCAAAATAAAATTCAAAATACTCACACAATTTTTTTCTCTTATTGGTAACATGCTCTTTCAATAGGCTTTTTCTTTAATTTTTAAACAGGTTGTGTACCTACTTTCAGTTTAATATACATGGGCCCCAATACGACTACCAAATCTGTGTAAAAATCTGTCCACAAGAGATGTCCATTTGTAGCACTAAATAAGCATCAGGGATGTTAAGCTAGGCTTTCTAAGCTATAATACCTCAAATCCTCATACTTTTTAGAAGACAAATAGTGCTGTTTTTCTATGGTATTTCCATAGCCCTTCAATGACAGTCATTAAAAGATCTCCACCCATAGCTAGTTACCTGCTGCCATCTCAGATACTCTCAGTTGCCCCAAGCTATGCAGGGTCAAGATATATACTCACATCCCATGGGAGTTCTGTGTCTTTCTGAAATAGCAATTGGAAGCAAGTCAGGATGTCCTAAGACATCACAAGTTGCAGTGAGAGGACTAGAGAGAATGGTCATGAGCTGAGACAGGGAAGAGTCAGATTAGATGTTAGAAAAAATGTTTTCCCTGTGAGGCTGTTCAGCCACTGGAATATTGCCCAGGGAGGTGGTGGAGTCACCATCCCTGGAGGTGTTTAAGAGATGTCTGGATGTGGCACTGGAGGATCTGGTTTAGGGTTTAGGAGTTTCAGCAGAGTGACAGGTCAATGGTTGGACTTGACGATCTTAGAGGTCTCCTCCAGCCTTGATGATTCTATGATTCTGTGCTTTCAAAAATGTATATGCCTTTAATACAAGAAAACTCCCTAAGCCATACTTTGAGCTGAGCTGTCTGTAACAATCTACTCTGTTCTGCATGCATGTTAGAAGGTGAATGTAGTAGAAAATAAAGGAACTTTAGTTTATAAAAAATGGAACTGTGTTTCACTGATGATTCTCCACAAGAATCTATACACTCATTTTCACTAATATCAGTGCTCATAGGAGGTAAATATTGAGCTCTTCTGTTTCAGGTATTAGTGGGAATTTAAAATTCATACATAAAGAATACATGTCACTCCGTAAATAAACTATGGCTGAAAAATGTGGAAAAGATATGCACATGAGAAAGTCACAATTAGTTTTAGATAGCACCCAAACAGGCAAATAAATGAAAGATGAAGACTGTGCTTTTGTCAGCTTTCTCTGTTATGACATTTTCATATTCAATGAAGCACGTACAGAAGTTTTAGCTCCAGGATGTAGCAGAAGTCCCTGCAGATATAGGAGAAAGTCTGAATAATAAATATGTAAGTCATCACACAGATGTTGTCATAGTCTTGATACTCTCAATCATTTGAAAATAGGTGAACCAGCAGTGGATGAGTGAGCAGAACACCTGATGGGATGGGATGGTCTGTGTTTTGTATACAGACACATATCTGCAAGACATCTAACCCATTCACCTACAGGAAAGTGAGACCTGGGCAAGTCTGTATTCCTTCCTTGAATTCTATCTTTCACATAAGACAAATGTTGTGTGTAATGTAACATTTCATTTAAGTATCAGATGTGACTTATATAATATGATCTGGTGCCAAGGATTCAATTTCATATACTGTAGCTTCAAGGCTTATATGCATATTCTGTCAAGAATCAAAACCATAGGCTGCTGTGACTAAGAAAACATTGTTCCTCAGCTATTCAGGGACTGCAGTTGGGATCCAGACCCCTACACAGCAGAAAGAGCTGTGGAAGGAGGGCAAGAAAGTCCATGTGTAAGAAATTTCATGAGAAGTTTGTGCTTTTTTTTACAGGGGAAATAAAGGCCTATAAACGTGCCTATATATTTACTCCTGCAAAGTACTGCATTTTTAATTAGTGTAACACCAACCAATAAAAAACAGGAAATGCAGCCTTAAGTATTGTTTCCTGGCTTTATCTCACTGCATTAGGAACAAAAACTATGTAGCTTTGCTTGTAGGTTTTCTGGTGTAAGTCACTATTCAGTATTTAAACGTGGATATCCTCTAGTGTCCAGTTACATGGTAACTCTTTTTAGGCAGCATTAAAAAAAATGAATGAAGCCAATTTTTGGTTTTGTGATGTACTTTGGGAACAAGTTGGTTTTGGTTGTTTTTTTGTTTGTTTGGGTTTTTTTTATTTTTTAAAGCTACATTTTGAGAAAAATGCAACCATGTAAATTCTAAACAGTTCAGTTGTCTGTGCATAGCAAGCAGGGGGAGTCTGAATGCTAAGTTTCATTTTGTCTGTCTTCACACTGTGTTGAGGTCTTTTTCTCTTGAAGTTCTTAGCAACACAGGGATGTTGACTCCAAATCCATCAACAATTTCCCAGCTGTTATAATAACTGATACATAAGATTTTATTTTCTTCATACTGTGTTTGTGTGTATGATAGAATCAGAGAATGGTTCGGGTTGGAAGGGACCTTAAAGATCATGTAGTTCCAACCCTCTCTGCAATGGACAGGATCACCTTACACTAGAGTAGTTCTCTTCCAACTGAAACCCTCCTATGATTTTATGATTCTCTGTCTTCATGAATCATTCAAAAACTGTCTTGTCTACTGGAAGGGAAGAGCTGAGTTGCCCAGTAGAGCTTTCCTTTTTGACATTCTGAGAATACAGTACAGCTAATTGCTGAGGTGCAAGGACTTGAAAAGGAAGAAGACAAAAGGCAAAAGGAAGATGACAAAAAGTGAAAGCCAAGAGAAGGAGAAGGGGGGGGAAGAGAAAGGAAGGAAAAAAAGAGGGAAAACCCCCAAGAAACAGAAAATGAAGAAGAAAAAAGCAAGGAGAGAATGAAGACATGACTGCAATAAAGCTGAGATTGATGTCTTGAGAGAAATATAACCAAAGCCTCTGATATGTGAATGACAACACACCTATCTGGGTCTGTCTATAGAACCTCTGACTCTGTGAGCATTTTTCAGTGTCAATGTGTGACTTAAATGCTGTAGATAGAAGATTATGGAACAAGCTTAGAAACAAAGGACCTACATCACACAGTGATCTTTGTGTCATTTATGTCAATAATGTCTTGCATCAAGGGGTGACTGAGAACTGAATATAGTCTGATGATTTAGCCTTATCCCACAAACCTGAAGGGATGCAGCATATACCCAAGTTCCTGGGGCTGGTGAAGAGGACATAAAGGGCATAGCTTTTCTCAGATAGCAGGGTCTCCACATGGAAGGACTATATTCTGTAAAGACTTAAAGATCAGAGAAATAAGAACATGTTCTCTCCTCCATATCTTTTTTTGCACACCGGAGCATCTGGATAGAATCTTGTACATTACCCTCGTAGCCTTCAGCATGTTCATCCACAGACTTTAATGAGCATTGCTGGGATAGTTATTAAAAATAAAAGTGTTCTGAAACACCTACGGTGTGAAAAGTCTCCTCAGTGATCATTAACGGCACTCAAATAAAAAGTTTGTTCATTTGTGATATGGGGATTGTTAAGGCTATGATCCCACTGCATTTGAGCAGGTGCTCATAACTCCTATAAACAGACTAGTAAATCATAGCTTCATCTTACCCCCAACACTTGGCATCCTAGAAGACTCCTGATGACTACTGGACTTGTTGCGGTTCTGATTTTTCCTCTTGTTGTTGGCTGCTCGGACAGAACGGAAAAGGACTTCACTTGCCTTGAAGAATGCAACCATGAATGGTTGCTTTGACTGAGGCCCATGCCTTCCAATCAGCCCAGCAGATTTAACATTGATACTTCGACCTACAAAGTAATGGAAATTGCAAGTTAAAAGGTGAACTTCTGCCCCTCCTGAAGCCACGGTGGGGGTTCAACTGCTGACGGAAGCATAGCAAGGAATTTGCCATAATCCAGAGTTTACGCAATTTAGAATCCTAAGCACATTTTGTTGAACAGAACTTAAAAGACAAGAAGTTCAACCATTTGCAAAAGTTTCAGCAGCTTTACAGGTAGCTTGTTACTGCATAAAATTGTGGTCTCTGCGTGCTATATATATCCTTTTCATTGCACAGACATTTTAATTCAGTCTCGTGCACACATCGATAGAACTGAAAAATATATGAGCCCCATTAAAGTGTATTCGTTATGGAAAGGATAATGCAATGTGGTCTTCTAATTTTTGCATCACTTGAGTGTGACACGTGGAATCTTACATCCCCAAAGCCAATCAGTAGCAAATAGAAGTATGGATAATAAACATAATTTTGTTTAAAGACAAATATTGTGCAGTGTTACTCAAAGCCATGTTCATTCACTAGTAAAGGTAGGAAGCCATTCAGTCATTCAAGAGAACAGAGTTTGAAATATGCACATTATTGACTCTGGTTCTGCTCCCAGGGGATGTGCATATTTCTTTAAAATATTTATTCAGTCAGAACTGTGTGGTAACCTCACTATATTACACAGCCTAAACCTCACTGAACGAAAGGAAAGCAAAACAAGTCGCTGAAGCTGCATCAGTGACATTTCAGCAAATAAACCCTTGCTCTTAACAGAATTTACTTTGGCAGCACAAACACTTTTGTGCGTACGTGTATTATGCAGAGCCCTTCATACGTCAGAAAATGAGACAGTGTCATGTGAAGCTGTGCAGCTGTGCTGGGTGGGGGACACAGAGGTCCTTCAAGTGGGAAGGTAAGGGCACAGGCACCCGAGGATCCTTCGAAACCGGCTGGAAAAGTTTGTTACACAGGCAACGAAGGAGCATCTGCCCCACAAACGTATAATGCCCTTAACTCAATGGACCTGAAAAAGAACTTGCAAATAAGCACAGGAGTAAACCTTATAGAAATAAGCATATAGGTTTCCTTTCCAAACACAAACTTAGAGTGGCTGTGTGCCAGAGTCTATATTTCTTGAAAAAACTCAATCACTGGCGTAAATGAAAGAGGCAGTTTGATTTGTGGTTAAAGCAGTTTCCATTCTACTTCCACTGTAACAAATGTATTAATTCAGCTCAGACTTCCTCCTTCTGGCAGCCCTTTTGCAGTAAAAAGAGAAATTAGAAGTTCCAGCCAAATACCATACCTTGAACTGACCCACTTCAATACATAAACACTTTTACAACATGTTTATTCAGGTGTAGCACTTTAAATTGGTTTAAGATGTTTCCAGTGACAGAGAGCCCAGCAAAGGCAAGAGAAGAACTGAGAAAGTTAGCAGTTATGGAGCAGAGTAATTGGCAACATATTCTGAACAATTTTGATAATTACTTTTTTTGACTGCAAGAGAAAAATATATTTGTCGAAGCTTCTGATTTCATTTTAAATGCCTTTTTAGTCCTGCGTTTCTTTGGTTCTTCTTTTCTTATGTTTGAGTTGCTATTAAATAATTCAGTAACATTAATTTCTATATGTTTCAATCTTCTGTTGCAAGTCAGATATGAAAAACTGTACAGACTATTTTCTATTCATTGCAACACAGACAAGGTAGCCTCTTACCACAAAGTTCCAGGTTTCCCCTCATTTCTAGAGGGAATATTTTTACTATTTTTCTTTATTTTTTGTTCCAATGGCTTTCAGAATTTTAATTTTATCTGTATAAGATTAATACCTTACTGGCAGACATTTTCAGAATACTATTAGATTTATATATTGAGGGCTGTAAAGATGTGTGAAGGTTTTCTGAATTTAAATCTGGGTTCTCTGAATTTACAATGGTGGATATTGTGTGCGAAGCAAAATATCCTTCAAACCAATGTGAACTCCCTTTAAAATAACTTTTAATATTATTAAGTTTCCTCTGGGTTTCCTTTAGACTTCAGCAATGAGATGGCTATTAAGATTCCACAAGTTAAGGCTTACTTGGTTATCCAAGGTATAGAGATATACTATAAAAAATTAATCCTGTAACCCACAGACTTTTTGCACACAGAAACGGCTTATATGACTTTATTCCTTTATTTGCTTGATCTTTTAAGCAGCCAGCCAGAGTTTTTAAAACTCATTTGTTCAGTTCATGAATGGTATATGCTCTGGATCTGCTCCTAGTGAAGTCAACAGGAAAACTTTTATTGACTTCTGTGGGTTCATCGTTAAACTTTTCTCTCTTGCTTTATCATATACCTTAGCTTAACTGCGACTTTCAGAAGACGAAGCAATCAAAATATACACTGCCCTGGAGACACTATATTTCTTCTGAGGAGGATCCCTGAACTGTTTGGTTTGGAAATTCATACCACATATGTTGTCTCCATTTTAGGTTGCTTCTTTGCAAAAGAAAGGTTGCATTTACAGAACTTCTGTTACCCTTTATAAAGAAAGAAAGAGAGAAAGAGAAAAAGAGAGAAAGAGAGAAAGAGAGAAAGAGAGAAAGAGAGAGGAGAGAAAAAGAAAACGTATGTGTGGGAGATTTCCTTCAATCTAAAAACACGAAGCTTTGCCCTTTCCTAACCAGGAGGTATTTCAAAGTATCTTGCCTCTGAAATACACTGAGCTTTCTGCCACAGCAGTAGCTCCATCTGTGTGCCATGGTCTCGTTAGGTAGTCCTTGCCATTGCCTGTAGTGTGGATTTCAGAACACACTAAGAAAAATCTTACTCTAACCTGAATTGCCCTTTGTAGCAAGAAGCATTCATGGGCTCCATTTTTGTAAGTGGTTTTAGGCTACTTCTTATAAGCATTTAGAAAACTCTTGGCTTCAATGACAACTGAAAATCCAGGTCCCTGCGGCACACAGTTGCTCCAAACTGTGGTGTCAGAGCAATGTTTTCTAAAATCAGCTGAATTACTCAGGCTGACCTGCTTAACTACATGCAGAGCTTCACCCAGATGAAACTGGGAAAACCAAAAGAGGAAGGTGTGTCTTTCTGCTTCACTTGAGCATCTCTGAACAAGAATTGAATGTGGCCAAGCGTTCTGAAAAAATGGCTTTGGTTTTCCCCTTCCATCATATCTTTAATTCTGAGGATTTCAAGGATTTTTCTTCAGAAGAGAAGAAGATGCAAAGAACCAGCAGTCAACTTGTGCCTGCTCTACTGAACCTAGTCACTGCAACTGCCCCTACACCTAACAAAAATTTAAATAGGCATAACAGATGGACTTGCTCTGTGCAGTGATAGTTCAGAGCCTTTGTATTCTTCGCATTCTGGCATGCACTTCTCAATCCTGCTGCAATAATTAATTATCTCTTCTGCATATTGACTGGCATATTCAGAGACTAAGATTTATTTAAAGCATTATGCTCCCAATTTGCTAAACTCCTTAGTCCTTATGCATATGCTTCTGAGTCTTTGGCAAGATATATTTGTTTGACTTGGCATTTAAACTTATTTTTTGGCTTTTGCACTATTTGATAGTAAAGTGCCCCTAGCAGTTTGCATAAAACTTGCATGGAAGTGCAGGTTTGACTGACTGAACTGAATGAATGTTATTTATAATAAAGGAATCACTGCTACAAAAATAACTGTGAAGCTCAGTTTATAAAATGGTCCTACCCCAACAATCCTGATGATTTGTGCTCTTGGTGTTTTACACACAAAATAGGAATAGCACTTAGAGCGATAACTGCAGAGCTATTTGCTGTGTCACTCCATCTGCTTTTGTGCTGTCACTTGCAATCATATCATACAATGCTTTTTGAACCCATCGAGTTCCATCTTAAAAGTTCATTTCCCCCTCAGCTGCTCCAAATGGAAATGCAAGAGCCCTTCAAGCTTTCAATAACAATCTGTCTCGCAGTCCTGACTTGGAGACATCTCCTTGTTTTTCATGACATTCAGAAAATTGGATTTTTTCTGAGCTCGCCACTGTGGATGCCAATGACAGTGGTAAGATTTGTGCCTTGGCTGTCTCTCCTCAGTCAGTATATATTTTATGTAAAGCATCGAGCAGACACTAATTTTGGAAGAGCTTTCAGCCATTATGTATCTTGGCCAGATTTACACTGGCAACACAGGACAATGAGTAATTCCAAGATCCATTATTTTGTCCTGAGTCACTGAACTGCAGCAAACCACTCATTTTGTTATGAAAAACAAGGACTTATTTACTTTCAAAAGTGTTCAAGAAGCCACAAAACACATTTTACAGATTAACCACTACTGCTAGGTCACGGTAGTTATTTTGGTAATAATTTTACATATTTTTAGCTAGAAATGAAAACTTTAATGATGCTGAGAATTCATTTCAGCACAATTTGCTGAAAAAGAAAATTAAAATTCCAATGCCACACCTTTAGTTTCCTCCTCCTGGGGAGTGACGTCTGAAATGAGGATTGGGAAAGGCTTTTTGGAGAAAGACCCTGAGTATGCAAGGTCCAATAACATCCAATATTTGAGAAAAAAGCTGCCCTGAGGCTCTAAGTCTGAAAGCTCATAAAGTAGTTTTCAAAATTAGATAGAAACTTGTGTGGTTTCTCATGCCTAAACAGTGCTCTTGAGAGCAATGGGACTTGAAACAAGAGAATTGAGGTAGAGTTTGGCTTGGGAAAGGAAAGAGAAAACCTAACGACACAAATGGGATGATCCATATATAAGACATCCTCAGCCCTCCAATTCCAAAGTATTTTTTTCTGTCTCTATTGTATTGTCTACATAAACTGTTATGCAAACCTTTCGTTTGGTGGAGGACACATTTATCTCTCCCAACATAAAATATGCTTTTGAAACAAGCTTTATGTGTTTTATTAACTGAAAGAGAAAACCTAACGACACAAATGGGATGATCCATATATAAGACATCCTCAGCCCTCCAATTCCAAAGTATTTTTTTCTGTCTCTATTGTATTGTCTACATAAACTGTTA